GTTTATGTGGAAGGATGGAACTAAAGCTCCGGATGCTTATGTATACAAGCTCTGCCTTACTACAACTGTCTACTTCATATGGAAAAAGAGAAATAGGTGACATGCCATGAATCAAGTTGCCTCTATTGCTTCAATTACTAAGCTGATCTACACTGATGTTAGAAACCATCTCATGTCCTACAAGCTGTGTGATTCGAAGGCTGCGAGATCTATTGCGCTGCTTGGAGTTTGCCAAGTTCAGTTTTTGGTGAGGGGCAATAATGTGTCTTGTTGGTTGCTCATTGCTACTGCAACTGTGTTCTCTAGTTGCAGTAGCAACGGGTGTTTTTGGTTTTGGTTTTTGTTTTTGTTGCCTGGCTGGGCCTTTTTTTGGCTTTCTGGGTTTGTTTCTTTCGGGCCTTTTTTTGGTTTTAGTTTTTGTTACCTGGCTGGGCCTTTTTTTACTTTATGTTTTATTATCATTGTAATGACCAGGTCATTTTCTTCCCTTTTCTGTGGATGGTTTTTCGTCGCTTAGTGTCATCTCGAGTGCTCAAAATTAGTTTCTGAGACTCTTTCATGTGAATTAACAACTTCCTTTGAGGACCGAGTCATTTTCGCATTTTTTGTTTCTGGACACTATGCGCTATTTCGTCTTTTCCCTATTCTGTCATTTTTCCTATTTCGTCTTATTTCCGTTTGTCAGTTGGCACAACCTCACTTCTTGTGCTCGGAGTTGGTTTTTGACTTCACGTATCCTTATCGTGAGTGGTTTCCACGAAATACATATCTTTATTTTTTGCAAGAAAGTACTCTGGTTGCTCCCGGTGCCCATGGGGCATAGATGCATAAATTTTTGGAATTAATTTCATTTCTTAGGGTGTTTTTCATAAATATCTTTTGAAGATATTTTATTTCAGGGGCATCTAAGAAAATATCTTTTGGAAGATATTTTCATTCTGGGGCAGTTTCGTAGTTAACCCTTTTTGCAGGGGCCATTATGCAATTAACGAAAGTTATTGCAAAATATCTCGTCTAGAGCCTGGATCCTCGTACGGGATTCATTTTCACTTTTTTTTGACTTGTAAATTCATAGAATTCCATTCTGGTCATTTTTTTTCCAGTTTCAAAGTTTTTGGACCCGGTTGCCGCCGAACTTGTTCGAGGCATAACTTTCTGCTCGAGACTCAGTTTTTGACGTTGTTTCTTCCGTTGTTCATATTTTCTTATTGTGAATCTTTTTCATTCACGGAGTTTTGCCGTTTGAGTGCGTTTGCTCAAATTTTACTTTTCCGGACCCGGCAGGGCCCGTTCGGGGCACTTTTTGGATTTTCCTATAAAAAGGAAGTGAGATATTTCATTTTTGGCCATCTCCTTCCTTGATGCACGACCAGCAACTCCCATGGCTTCCAAAAGGGGCTGCCACCCTTCTTTCATTTAAACCCTCTTCCCTTTGTTAAAAAGTTGAAGTGCCTTTGCGTTTTATATTCATGTTGACTATACGCTTCTTTTACCCTTATTAGAACCCATTTCCGACCATATTTTGAGTTTGGTTTTGAGTTCAAGTAGTGATTTTCATGGGACTTCTTTGGGATTCTTGTTCACGGCGTTGTCCCCGACAAAACCCCGAAGTATTATTGGATTCGGAGCCGTTTCATTTTGATGGCTTTTGAGATTTTCATCTCAAATTGAAGTAGGGGTGTCCTAGGATTATATTTATGTTGTATTGATTGTTATATGAGCATATACAATTTGTGAGCAAGTTTTGTTTAAGATTTAGAATTTAATTTAATTAATTTCTATATTTGAGATTTAATTCATATGGCTTTGTGTATAACATGGAATTAAATTGTGGCATGTTAGGAAATTAAGTTTTAGTATGTTGATTAACATATATTAAATTTGGGGCATTTGGATAAGAATTACAAAAATTATTTAATATTTATCTTTTGTGAAAGTTTAATTCATATGGTGATAGCAAGCATGAAATCATGATGTAATGTGACATTTGGATAGGCCTTGGCATGTTCTTTAACATAGATTAAATTGAGGGCATTTGGAATTGTTTAAAAATTTAGAGGAAATAAATTAATTAGCTTGATTAATATTGTTTTAAGTGTTTTAATCACTTAACTTGTCATTTGATGTTATATATATGATGACCATGACATGTCCTTCAATATATATTAAATTGAGGTTAATTGGGATTAACTTGGAATTTAGAGAATTTAACTATTTATGTTTAATTAAATTCTACTTTATTACTGCATGAATTTAATTGCATCTTGGAAGTTGTTTCTATATTTAGATCATGGATTTGAATTTGGTGTATGTTCACTTGATTACTTTTGAGCATTGGATAACATAGTTGTTATTTTTATATTCATGAGAATATGTTTTTCTTATTGGATATATTGTCGCTATGTGTAAGGAATTGCACACCTTGTATTTGACATCTTTCACGCCATAGTAGTTGTAGACTTTTAGCATGTATTGTATATGTTTCCAAAATTGGATTGTGCTTGATAAATAGTTGATATCTTGTATATACATGTTGATATATATACGTTGTTGCACAATTTGTTGATTTTGGAAACTTGGGGATGTCGTTGTTTGGCTACGGCTAAGACTTGGTTCTAGTACGAGGGATTGTCCCTCCATATAGTCTAGTGCACACATAGGGAGGTTACCCATAGGCTAGTAACCCTAAAGTAACTATGTTATCGGTCTGATCCGGCGTGACGTCCAAGTATCCACTTTGTTTGATTTCGTATTTCATTTCAAGTTGATAACTAGATGATATCGTAACTTGTTGTTCTTTGTTTGATTTCCCATTTGAAGTTGCAAGATATTAACTTTGAGAAATCATGCTTTAAGCGTTGTATTGGAAGTTCCAATGTTGGTTAAATTATATCGATATCATAATTTGTGTTTTGATGTTCAAATGTAGTTTAGGAATGATCCTATAGATTCACTTTAAACATAGACGTTAGGTGGCATGACCCACTCTTGTTGTTTTCGTATCTTGGATTTCAAGTTGAAGACTTTGAGAATCTATATCTTGTTGCTTTGTATAACATGTTTCCATGTTGTTTGAATTGCATGAACAATGTGATTATGCTAGAAATGTTTTAAGGTAGCTTAAGATGCTTCCTGAGTCTCATTTTGACATAGACGTTAGGTGGCATGAACCCCTTTGATATGTTTCACCTTAAGGTGATAAAATTGTAAAATGCTAAGTCGATGCATACTCATCTCCTACGAGTAGCTTTATGTTACTCACCCCTACAATATTGGGGCATATTTTAGGTACAGGACTCAAGACTTGAAGATTCCATTGCCTTGGATCGTTTGGTAGCTTTATGTATCAAACTTGTATTCTTTGATTCTACATATGTAAAGTTTACATAAGTGCACTCCTTTTAATGCATTTTACATGTATGACATGAGGCCAAGGGCCATTAACTTGAAAGGTTACAATTGTGTTTCCTCTAAAACTCAAGTATTGCCATTGTAGCTTATTTGTGAGAAATTAAGGCTTTGTATGCTAAAACTTGTTAATGGAATGTAAAGAGGCTTTAAGCCATGCTAGTACATCTATTTTATCATATTGCATGCACTTGCATACTCACTTTGGCAAACAACACCATCCTTGATGAAACAAAAACTCTAAGTAGCATTTTTAGGGAGTTTTACCCTATTCTGTTCCAAGGGCATTTCGGGTATTTCACAATGCGTTTTTTTCATTTTTCCTCAAGAGTCACATAGAAAACTCAATTTTGAGGGGGGTTTCTTCTTTGTTTTTTTCCAGAAAATGCCATCTTGGCCCTCAAAAATCTATATTTGTCCGAAAAATCATTGCTGCCAGGTTTTGCAGATTTTTAGTGCAAATGTACTTGGTATTATTCATCGACTTTTTTTTGAAAAGTATGACGACCGATCCGAAACTTCCGGGGGTCTTGTGGGTGTATTTTAAGATTGTATTTTTAATTTAGGCAATTTAAAAACCTCCCGAAGCCCTATTTCCTTTCCTTAGGCAGTAGCTCGGAGAAATTTTTACCCCCTTGACCAGATTTTCTTGGAGGCATTCTGGGCATTTTACAATGCATTTTTTTTGTTTCCGTCCTCGATCGGGGTAGGAAACTTGATTTTAGGGGGGTTTCTTCTTTGAGTTTTTCCAGAAAAGTCCATTTAGATGCCCGTTTTTACTCTCAGTTGCAGCAGTAGTGGGTTATCCTCGTCGGGCCGCCACGACATCATTTTTGTTTTTGACCATTCTCCTTCGTCCGGACTCCGAATAATGAAATTCTTGAGTCCATTATGTTTAATTTTTCATTGTCTTCCCAACGGTGTGCTCGATAGCACTTGAATCCACTTTTGCAAAATGACCATTTTGCCCATAGGTTCCTTTTTATCCTTTTTGAAACGACACTTCCGCATTTGTTTTCCTTTGGGTTCTATGACCTCATTGAGGGTCACATTGGTGTCTTAGAGACGCATTGTATCTCTAGAGACCGTTGTTTCACCTTTCGCTTTCGCATTTCGGATCCGTTATCGGGTCATCTTTTGGTCATCACTGACACACCGGGTTTACAAAACTTGGGCCGTCACAATCATTGTATCTACTTGTCTGAGCTGTTTATGCGTATCTACTGTATGTGAATGTTTTATTTATTTTGTCATTATATAGGTGGCAGTCCTAATTTCTCTCCACTTTAGTGACTCCAACTCCATATATATTACTTTTAATTTGAATTTTATTGTCCCTAGAAAAGACCTGAATATAGATGTCTCTTCTTACAAACCATAAGTATTCACAAAAACAAAACATGCATTTGTTTAATAACCAAAATATGCCTCTAATTAGGATCAAACAAGTTTGAAAAATTAGCTTTTTGATCTTTTGCTGAAGAGATGAAATTTTTTGCTTTTATGCTTTTAGAGTAGTTGACTCAAAAAAAAAAAAAAAAAAAAAAAAAAAAATCATACCCTTTTGATGCAAAGTGTAAAATATATAAATAAAAAAAAAATGTCATAATGTTATTTTAAAATAGATCATACAAAGATATGCACGCAAAGCTCACTAGACACAACAAAAACAACTCCGACCATAAAACTTCGTGAGATCAAATTTATGTTTTGCAAAAGATCAGATAGATCTCACCCTCATATATATTAATCCTAAAATCTTTAAGGCCTATATAAATATACTAATAGATGTTCATAAAGTATTCAGGGTAAAGTACATAGACACCCCCTGAGGTTTGGGGGAAGGACAGGCAGATGAAACTTAGCCTATTTTGGAACAAAGACACCCCCTCAAGTTTGATATAGTAACCAAAGACACCCCAATGGTAATGAATTGACATTTTTGCCCTTTAACTTTTATATTGACCCATGTGAATATTGAAATTACCTTTTTAACCTCTATATTCTTAGATTTATTTATTTATTTATTTATCTCTCAATAATTTGTATATACACATATATATAATCAACGGAGAAGACGACGCGTCCTTTTCGACAACGATCTGCAAATTGTCCTCACCGACGAAATCATTGAAAATTAATACCTAACAAAATAAATAATTGAACAAAATACAAATTAAGAATAGTCTAAGAACACAAATTACAAAAAAAAATAATAATAATAATAACAATAATAATAAATAATAAATAAAACAGAGCGCATACCGTTGAAGATAAGAGCTTTGATTTTGGAACGGAGATGAGGATTCTGTTGGCCGGATTTTTTTGTGACTTGCCAGAGTTTGAAATCGCCAGTTAGCTGTTGCAGTCACCTCTGCGAGAGAGAGAGAGCATAGCTTAGCGGCAATTAGTGGTAGCGACGTTATGGTGGCCAGCAATATGCAGCGACAACGGCAACAATATCCATTCACCATTGCCGCACTTATCTCATCGGCGACTATGGGGCTCTATGGGTCAATGGAATTGAAGGCGGGCGGCGGATCTAGAGTCGGCCTCGTCGGATTCGAATGATCTTGAGTCGACAGAGCTCTCTGCAATGGAATAGCTGAAGCTCTGTAGAAGATCATGCGTCTGCGAGGAGTGGGCCACGGCCGTCAGCGGAGCCCTCTACCATGAACTCGTCGAAGCTCTAGACAAGAATCATGAGCCGGCGAGGAGCAGGCCACCGTCGGCACCAAGGTAAAGGACACGTCGTCTTCTCCGTTGATTATATATATCTGTATATACAAATTATTGAGAGATAAATAAATATATATATATATATATATATATATATATATATATCTAAATATATAGAGATTAGAAAGGTAATTTTAATATTCACATGGGTCAATATAAAAGTCAAAGGGCGAAAATGTCAATTCATTACCATTGGGATGTCTTTGGTTACTGTGTCAAACTTGAGGAGGTGTCTTTCTCCCAAAATAGGCTAAGTTTCATCTGCCTATCCTTACCCCAAACCTCAGGGGGTGTCTATGTACTTTATCCAAGTATTTAATATGTGATGATAATAATCTTAATCTATTTAGTTATTAAATGTGTTCAATTGAAATATTTTAAGGTACCATTTGGTTTGCAATGTGGTTGTCTTGATTCAATTATAATTTTGATTTATTGAGAAGAGTTAGGTTTAGATCATAAGCTTTCATCGCACAACTTGAATGCGATCTACTTGCCTTTACTATAGTTGAGACTCTTGGATCATCCTTGTTTACTAATATACATTACCTATGCTCTAGATTGCAAATAAAATCTCAAATTAATGATAATTTTTTTTATTTCTTTATACCCTTAAATGGAAAATTTTATTTTTTCTTAAAAGTTTAGTATTAGTTAAGTGATGATTAAGAAATTTTTATCATATTCACCTACAATTCCATGGTTACGCTATGCACTGTTATCACAAATAATTTACTAATATCTATCTATGGTAATAGATGTAATTAGCCTATAATATACATGTGTAATGCATCGTTAATATAATAGGTATTATATAATAAATTAAAAATCGTGGACGTGTATATAGCAAGAGGTGTGTTGTGTTTAATACAATTCTCAGATTATATTAACATACAATTCTCAGATTATATTAACATACAATTCTCAGCTAAGCCTCAAAGTATACTATTATCAACTCTGAGGTGTGTACAGATTGTAGCAAAGTTAATGATTTGCTGGGATTAAACACAACAGGAATCGTCTTTGCTACAAGTTTAGGAACAAATTTAACAATTTCATTAAACAAAATACTCAACATACGACTGAAACCATTTTTGCAATCCGGTCTAAAAAGTACACCAAGTTAAAGAAAAGAGCAAATAAAAGGTTGATAAAATAAAATAAAATAAAATAAAATTGACAGGAAAAATTAACCACATAGAAAACTACACAATTAATCTCAAATATCACAATCAGATTCCTTCACCCAACAAGATTATAAGGTAATCAATCATATAAAAAAATATTGATGCTTGTTATTAACTACAGTAGGTTAGGTGATGTAGGGGTATTACAGCCAGCAAAACTACATTCAGTCACCTGGAAAGCAAATCATCTTCCTTTTACATATATATATATATATAGCAGGAGGCTTTCAATATCTTTCTTTTATGTGTGTGTGTGTGTGTGTATATATATATATATGTATGTATATATAGCAAGAGAAATATAGAGAGAAAGAAAGACCTGGTAATTGATATATGGCCCGAGAGATTGAACGATGGAATAACAGATCGCAAATACTGAAGTGAGTGAAAGATTGAGCCTACAATCTGAAGATGATAAACTAGGGCATCGTCTTCATCTTGAGAGGGAGAGAACAGAGTGAAAGATTGGGGCTTCCTTACCTTCTTGTTTTCTGTATTACCTAACCTCCGAACCAGCAAACTATACGTTGTGAGCTTTCCTCCCTTTCTTGTGTTGGTTTCCCTCTTCTCTTCTTCCAGCCTCTACTGACCTGTAAATAGTCTTCTGTAAATAGTCTTTTTCCTTTAGTTTTCTGTAAATAGTCTTGGGAATTTCGTATGTAGAAAGGAGCATCTATGAATGAAATCTTCCTTCTTTTCCTCGCTTGGCTTCTTTCGTTGAAAGCTTGACAGAATGCAGGGCATGATCTGATTTGTGTTGGAGAAAAGAATAAAGTTATGTCTCTCACTTAATTCACGTGTCACCCAAACGTGGCGCTAAAATTTTGTTTGGCGCTAAAATTTCCCGCGTAGATATTTTGGGCATTATATATCTTTTTTTAATTCTTTTGAGAAAGTTAAAATTAATACCCCAACTTAAATTTATTTATTTATTTTTACTACGGTGATGTAGAGTTTTTTAAGATTTTTGTTTTATTAATTATTTTTGAAAATTACTCCCACTGTCTCAAAAAAATATGTCCCTTTTGAAAAACTATGACTCATTAATGTTTTTTTTTGGGAAACATTGAATATGAAGCAAGGACATGGACATGTGGGACACGGGTATGATACCTTTGTGAGTCGCAACTTCTTAAAAGTGACATTTATTTTGAGAAAGATGGAATAGTTCTTTTGAAATCATCTCTCATCAACATATATATATAAAGCACGGACATGGGACACAAGTACGACACGATAAAGATCTAATGTTTGAAAATTTTAATTATTATCTATTAGACTTCTAAGTTTAATTATTTTTGTATAAACAATGTATTTAAGTAGTATATAGTTTATGTCCATTATGCAAAAAAAATAAGGAAATTAATTTTCAAAAAGGACGGCAACTTTTGTCACCGTCAATTATGGGTTGGTCGCCAGCACCAACATTACTAAAGACCCACATTCACATACACTATCCTTTCTCTATCTTTTTTTCTCTCTTTAGACTTACTGACTCACCAACATACATCGAGAACTACGTACGTACCTACGCATATGTTGTCCAAATATGGTCTAAGTATACTATATACTATAGTATTACTATTTAAATCTTATGTAAAAAAATATAATGTATATATATATATATATATATATATATATAATTATTATGGAGCATTATAAAACAAAAATAACATATATAATAAAATAATTAATATATATATATATATATATATATATTATATAATAAAACAAAACTATATAAAAAATAAAAGAATCTGATAATAGGTTGAGGCTATAATTTGATTCTATGTCCTTAATATAGATTTGCCCCGTTATGGTGCTTACGGACTCAGTAGCGTCTATCTCCCCTGATTCAACGACCTTTCTTTCTTCGGTAGCAACATTGCAAACCAAAGAAATGGGCGAACCAGCTTGGTGTAGTACTCTCTCCTATAGACAAGCCCTTTAGGGACAGTAACTGTTCTTGAAAGACGATCACTAAAGCCTCATTTTTTTGTAGTATTTGACCAAAGAAACCAAACCCAACCAAACTAGATTGTGAAAAATTGGTTTGGTTCGGTTCGGTTCAGTTTGGTTCCACGATTTTTTATTTTTTATTTATTATAGAAGTATTCATATTTCAATATTCACATGCAAAACAATAAACCAAGTTAATTACCAACACATTCAGAACTATTAAAATATTCAGAAATTTCAATTCATTCTTCTTTATTACTTCTGGAACTGAAGTGAATAAATTTATAATTAATAATAACCTAATACATTTAGAATTACTAAATAATCAACAACAAACAATTAGCCACAATTCAAAATTCAACAACTATATATATATATATATATATATATATATATATATATATATATATATATAATTAAAAAAATTATCTAATAAATTGATAAGAACTAAGAGAATTAAGAATGGACCATATGATTGATAGTTATTACAAACTTCTAAGTGATTTGGATTGTACGTAGGATAATATTATACTATTATATATACTGTATAATTTAACATATATATATATATATATATATATATATATATATATATAGTATAATGATTCGGTTCGGTCTAATTCGGTCCTAAAAGACCTCAAACCGTGACAAAGCCGTATCTTTATGATTTCACAAATTTAGAACTGTGACTGAACCAAACCATTAGCTGTGACACCCCCTAATTTCGGGATACGGGTTGATCAAGTCCGCACACAAAATCAGGGGATATTAAGACAATTAAAGTATTTCAAACAAGTACAGAGTACAAAAAGAAAATAAAAAAAATAAATAACTCGCTAAAGGAAAATCTATTAAATAATAAATCCATTTATAATTCTACAGCTTGGAAATCCCGTAACTTAAGGACCCCTTAACCAAAATTCACTATCTAGAAATGCATCAATACATACTGAAATAATAATATCTTACATTGAAATAAAATAGAAAGAATGGATAAGTCCTCCAGCTGCGGATCCTCAACCTTGAAACTTAGAACTTTTAATAACCTGAAAAACAAATCGCGAGTTAAACCCTATAAGCAAGCTCTCTCTACCAGGGCTCTAAAAACTAATAAACAAATTATCTCTCACCAAAACCAATCCTATTAAAATTTTTATCTTTAATAAATAAGGATGCGCATATATATAAATAATTATATATAATACACTAATCACATCCATTAATAGATTCATTAAATTTAAAACCATTAAGCAATGATTAAATTAATAATCATTCCTACACCAATCGACAATTTCTTTTAAAAAGAAATTCATTTAACCTTAACTCAATCCTAAACAATTATTAAATCATTTAAATAATAAAATATAATTAAAGGAATGATATATTTAATCCAATTCCTAATAATAATTGTAATTATTAAATCACATATCCAATATCTAAACTTTAACAAATCATTCATGTCTGTACCAATATTATTTTATTAATATAAAATAATATACTAACCTTTAAATACTAGATTATTCTAATATAAGAATATCTAATCATAATCCAACTTACACATTCAATAACTATAAATGAAATTTTAATCATCTAACACACAGCAATTTAATTACGCTTTGGCAAATAAACCATGTCATTATAAATATATTTAGTTATATATTGACAATTCAACCATGCCTCTATAAGTATATTTATTTATACATTTGACAAATCAATTATGCAATTATAAATATATTTATTTATATATTAGCAACTCAACTATGCCTCCTTTAAGTATATATATTTATACTTTTAAATTAACAACTCAGCCATACTTCCTATGTATGTACTTTATTCATACAAATACTTAGGCAATATATTTACACCTATGACAACCCATCCATATCTACAATTCAACTATGTATCAACTTTAAACTAAACAATAAATTAATTCACACGTAACCATTTCATGCATATTATATGCATAAGATTAATTTAATAACCAGCCTAATATAATATATCAAATAATAATAATAATTTAATTATCTTAAATGATATATACATATACCCATATATTATACAATATATATATATATATATATATATATATATATATACATATATTTCCTTCTATCCTAAACATAAATTAATTAAATTATATATACACATATATAATTAAGTATATATATAGCTCCTTCCATCACCAAACTATTAATTAAAGATATTTACGCAAATTAAATATTACTAAATATCGTCATAAATGGTTTCCCATAAATACTTCATATCAGTTTAAATAATTTTTCAACACCATCTCACTAAAATATCACTACAAGAAATTAGGTTTTTAGTGACGGCCAAATCTGTCCCTAAAAACCCTAAGACCATCCCTAATAATCAAATCTGACCGTCCCTAATAGTTGTGTCACAAATGATTTTTAGGGACGGTAAAAATTTTCCGTCCCTAATAAAATCGACCTTTAGGGACGGACTTACTGTCCCGAAAAGGCCCGTCCCACTTTCATTTATTAGGGACGGACTTACTGTCCCTAATAAGACCGTCCCCCTTTGATTTATTAGGGACGGTATTTACTGTCCCTAATAGTTGATATATTAGGGACTGTTTTTTGCCCGTCCCTAATACATACTTTATTAGGCACAATTTGTGTTGTCCCTAATAAGATTTTTTATTATTATTAAATTAAATTTGTGACAGTAATAAACTGTCCCTAATAGTTCATTATTATTATTATTATTATTATTATTATTATTTCTGTTTAGCTCTACGAGATTTGTCTTCTAAAAATACTATTAAACCACATCCACCTTATATATCAAAACATGGAAACTAAAAAGTATATTCATCCACAATATCATTTTAGAAAGAAAAAAATAAATTACCACCATAATATGATACCAACAAACAAGCTCTTAATCTCATGATGAAACTACAAATTCTCCAGTTTTGTAAAGAAGAGCTAAAAGTATCTAGTAACTGCTTTAACATCAAATGGTTCCAAACATCCTTAAAAATTAAAACATCATTTTAAACTGAATGCAATCATGAAAATGCAGGGAAAAAATACACTACCAAAATAGTTAGAAATCAGCTAGCTAGCCATCAAAAAGCTCCAAAATATATCTACCAAAATAATTATCTTTATAGTTCATTCAGGTGACTGTTGTGGTGCTGCTGGTGCGTGGTGCCGAAATTGCCACCATGTTGGCGGCTGCTGATACCAGCTTGGTGGGGCATGCTGCTATTGGTGGAATCGTGGTGGCAATTGTTGGTTCTGTTGTTGCTGCTAAAGGAGTTGCTGTTGCTACTCAAGGAGGTGCTGAAATGTATCCAACTTATCCTCCAAATTTGTAACTTTCTCCCTTAGTTGTGCATTATCTTCTTCAACATTTATTACCCTTTTTCTAGAAGCCTCTTCAAAAGATAAGGATACACGTTGATGGCTTGGAGCTACAAAACCATTTCCGAACCCACGACGATATCCCTTTCTGATACCTAATTGGTTTTTCACTATCTCAACATCATTTATGACAGGACTGGTACCATCAGAATTGTGAAAAACTTGTGAAAACTTCTGTTTCATTTCATCCTGAAATTAAGATGAATGTAGTGTTAAACATCAGTAGCTCAATAAAAAATTAACTATAAACTAAGTTAAGATGAATTGTTTTTTGATGTATGATATAGAGAATAGGAATGAGTGGGAGATTCGTTCTTCACTTCCATTTTTGGAAGAAAAAGAGCTAGCTAAAGCTCTTTCAGTGAAAGCCAAAAAAGGATCTTACTTATATATAGGATATCAAATTTATATTTTCTATTCCATTTAGAATTCTAAGTCCAGAGACATCAATATCACGATCTAATACAAACTTTAACAAGCATGTGTGAGGATCACAAAAAGGATCAAACAATGTCCATATACTTTGTGATGCATAATTATATGTTTAACATAAAAAAATATAATTGTCATATCAATTAACCAAATTTTATGGTCTAAAAAAATAAATTTAGCATATGTTAAGCTTGTAACAAAATCGATCCCAAAATAAAAATTAACTTGCAAAATAGTAGCACAAAACATAGACTAGTTTCTAACCCATCATAATAAAAAATAAAAATAAAAAACTTTTTGAATCAGTTAATTAAAATTGCAATTTTAATTTTAAATTGAGATTAGCAAATAAAAAAGAACAAAACCACAACAGAGCAAAAACATAACTAAAGAATATTACACAAGGAACTTAAACAACATACATAAAACATTAAGAGTGACCAGATTCAGTAGCAAACTTTTGAACATCATTTTTATATTAAAAAACATTAAGTTGGGTTCAAGTTGGCCCACCTGAATTTCAAGTGCGTTTATCCTGATGTAATGCAGCATGGCAATGTAGGCAAACAAAAATAGGAAGGATTTTATCATAATTGAATTTAAAATATGATTTCAAATATTTGGAATGTGTGGAATTTTAAAAGAACTTAGACGGAATTTAAAATTCCTTTTTACAAATCCCATTTTATTCCCAATTCCTTTCCCAACTCTAATTTCAAATCCCATAAGTATTTAGTTCGAAACAAGGCGTAAAGAAATAATTAAAGGTTCCTTGTCAAGTAAGCCCTAACCCTAACACTGATTCTTATTCCAATTATATTAGAATCAATCTCATACAATGCCCTTTTTTTTTTTTTTTTTCAGATGCCAGTAGAACTCTACAAGATTTTGAAGTTATTCTATGCACTTTATTGGTTCAGTTTACAATAAATCTGAGCCTACGCCTCATATTTATCTTTAACCCTATGCACTTTTAGTATTTGGGATCAGCATTGGAAGCCTTTTACTCAGAAAATCAAATGAAATGAACTCGAATCCATGCAATGAGTGATAGGTTATTTTAGGCTCATCAACTTGTCCCAATATATATATTAAAAAAAGAAATTTATTTATTTTTAAGTTGTGTGACAGAGACTGTAGAATAGACAACTAGGGTCAAGTTTTATTCCTTGTACTATATTGAGGCGGCATCATGGTATTCACATTTATGTGTATTTCTTTCTTATATAGCGTTGATTAGTGTGGCCTTTGTTGTGTGTATTATTGAAAGTGATTTGGCTTCAATCACATAATCTCCATAAATTTGGATGAATTTAGGTTAGGGAAGTTATTCCCATCTTGATCATGTGATGGACATTGACAGTTGATGAGCCCACTTTTGACTTCAATGTATGTTCCCACCTAAAATATTTGTTACCATTAAGTGCAAGGAGAGTTTCTGTTTCACACCCCAGAGTAAACAAGCTCAATATTTTATGTCAATAATATTTTTAAATCATTTTATTAAAGGATGGATGATCATGAAATTACTAACTCAGATAGATAGCAGAAAGGTAAATCAACTAAAACTGGATGATACGAAAAGGTAAGTTCGTATCATAGAGCAGTGATAGGAAATTCAAATTTTCAGCAGCAAACAAATTAAACCTATCGATCACTGGACAAAAAAAAAAAAAAAAAGGAAACAAATTTTTAAGTACCATGTTAATTAATTGGAAAAAATAGCATTCCCATTACTATGTTAAAAAAGTAAATTACCACAACTTGTTACACCAATGGGCTTGGACATTGTTTTTAGATCTCTAATAAGTCATTAAAATTGGTTCTTTTTTTTTAAGTGAGAAAAATTAACATTCTCACCTTGGTGGTGTGCTTCAATGTTATAATATGGGCCTATTTTCTCAGATCTAGAACTCAAATATGTAGTTAAATATGAAAGTCATTTCAAATTGGTCAATTTTTTTGGAAGCAGGCCTGGCCTCATAGTCGTGTGGATCCCACAACATTTATATTATAGATAGAAAATGATTGTTAAAGTCAACTGGAATAACACCTTATAGATGTTATCTAAAATCCATATATATAAATATTATCTAAAATCCTTATAGATGTTATCTAAAATCCTTATAATCTATTTCCGAAAAATTAAAATCCTTATAATTTGAATACTCAAATCGATCAAGTATGTCACTAATAACATTCTAATAATCCAATTCTATGATCCTAAAGTTTAATTGAACAGTTGATTTAATTTGGATCAAGGGTCCCAAATCCATATCCACGCACAAACCACCAACAAGCACAGCTCCTGCTTTTAGTTGACACATTATTATATATACACTTCTAAGCATGGTATCCAGTATATCTAATCTAATCTAATCTGTAATCTGGTAACTATGTTGATCAAAGCTACAAATTTCTAATTCACCAACAAACTCAATAAATAGCAATTATTTATTTATTGTGCTTGCCTACAAAAACTGAAAACCATATACCCAGAAATCCATATATATAAAAATGCGCTCATTCAATTTTCAAAAACAAAACCGACTAAGGTGCTGTTTAATAAAGCTAAAAATTAAGCACTGGAAAATTTTAATTACTGAATTTAAAGCACTGAATGCATGAGTTGATACATGATATTCTGCTCTCATCCACACCCAATTAATTATGAGAACCTAAACTGATTTTGTGAAAGGAATTATTCTCGTGCTGGTGCATCAGGGTAGGGTTATAGCTATAAAATGTAGAGCACCTAATGGAATGTAATCATTGGTCTCTCCCATCCCATAATGAGTACAAGATCACCAACATCACCTATGTGTGCAAATATTAAGCCTCTTTTTATATATACTGTTATAGAGCAGCACCTACGTGTGCAAATATTGAGCCTCTTTTTATATATTGAGCTGCATTGAGTGTGAGGCTTGAGAGCTGAAAATATGAGTCACTTTTAGAGAGATTAATTGAAGTTCTAAGCTAATTTAATCTCTGAAATCACTATGAGAGTGCACTAATCCACTGAAGAATTTCTGAACTTGTGAAGTAGAATTTCCTGATGCATTTATGTTGATGTTGAGGCTGGATTAAAGGGTCAAAATTGGTTGTAGAGGTTCCGGGTGCTGTGTGATGGTTGAAGCAAGCTTGGTACATTTATTTACATCTGCAGAACTCAGGTATATGCCTAATTTTGCACAGAAAAACAATATGAGTACTCATATATCAGTTTCAGCCTTTCTGGTGCATAGCCTCTAATGGACTATTTTATATTGATTACTTCTTGTATGTGTTGAGTTTATGCTTTGAACAAGTATATTGAATCATTATAGAACTCTGTTGACAAAGATCAAGACTGAAAATTGAGTGTACTTGGTTTTGAACTCTCAAACCAAACAAAACAGCCTTATTGAATAAAATAGCCTACAGAAAGTTTTAAACTCATTCTAGTTGATTCATATTGCTAGCTTTGCTGTGATTACCTTCTGAGCATATATATATAACTGGATTGAGATGTTTGGAATCAAGTTCAAGGCTGTAAGGACGTAAAATTATGATTTAGTCCCTAAGAACAAAGTTTCAGCTGAAACTGTGCTGTGACTTATTTTGAGCTGCAATTCGAAATAAACTTGTTATACACTGAAGAGTATCATTCTGAACAAGTTTCATTTATTTAGTGTTATGAGAACTTGAATCAAGGCCTACTTTCACCTGCATTTATTTAGTGTTGTAAAACTGATGTCAGTTCTGTCCTAGCACTTATTGTGCACTACAACTGTGTCTCTTGTTGAAAGAACTAAAGTATCTAATTGCGTAAGTACACTGTGAGTATGTGAAACTGTAAGAACCAGAATTAACTCAAGTTTCAGGTGATTTAACTGAAGACTAAGGTTTAAGATATTTTAAGCCTACTTGTGATCTGAGATTGTTATAACTTGCTCTATTCCCTGTTTCAATCTTTTGAGCATGTTTGTTTGGAGATTACAAGCCTTTTCCAGATTTGTAATTTACCCCTTCAATAGGCCTTTTGTAATTTCGAAACCCTAGAAAAAAACTAGGGTGAGGATCATGAAAAATGGCAAACAGGAAAAGTACGAAAGAAATTTTACTTGCCTCTACTGAGATTAGGAGGTTGGCTTGGCTAGAAACGGAAAAAACCTTCCAAAGGTTGCTATTAGGTCGTAGAGCAGGGCGCTATTGAGAAGAACAGAAGAGGTGAAGAACTGAAGATCGAGCTTTGTGAGTTGTGACGGTGGAATAGCCTAATTTCTTGTAGTGATAACCAGCTCATGCACACATATTTGACACATTTAAAAAAGTCACAAACGAATAAAATGTGTCATGAACAACGTTTTCAGAATTGTTTCATCCATCAATCCCCAGCCTCCAGTGAATTATATTTTCAAAAATTGTATAATCAAATTTAATATTCATTCCACTCCCTTTGTGGAGAAAGAATTTTCATTTATCTAACAAATTTTGGTAAATGAGAGAACAAAGTGATGAGGCTATCTCTGGATAAATTAAACAAAACACATGCAGGGCCAATTACTGGTAAAGAAAAATGGTCCTTTAAAAAAAATATCTGCAAAACAAAATATATGTACTTGATGCATAGGCTCTCTGTTTTTTTGGTAGGGAAGGGAGAAGTGGTAAAATATCATTAAAAGGCGCCAAAACAAGGGTACGACCCATATAAACAAGAGGTACACAAGAAGGAAAATAAAAAAATATGCATAATCACGATAGATCCATGACGGAGAGCATTAGAACTAAATATCTAGGTAATATAAACTTATAGAGCATTAAAATCCAGAAATTGATAAATAAACAAATAAAATAAAACATAATAAGAGCATTAAAATCCAGAAATTGATAAGTAAACAAATAAAATAAAACATAATAAGAGCATTAGAACTAATTATCTAGGTAATATAAACTTATAGAGCATTAAAATCTAGAAATTGATAAATAAACAAATAAAATAAAACATAATAAGAGGAGTAAGAAATATATCATACCTAAAATTCTGATCAAACTCAATCTTGGGTGAACAGCTAGTGGATATGACCTGCAATAAGTATATAATGGCACCAATTATCAGTTCTGAACAAGATCTTGTGCAGGAGATATTCTATGTTTTGGAAGCGAACTAATACAACCTTCAAATGGGACCCTGGCTAAATTGTTAGCATCAGAACTTCACTAACAAGTCAACTGCAAGGCTTATTCTGGTTTATGAAGGGTCGCTTTCTAGAGCATTCATAAAATTTCCTTCCTTTCATTAACAAAGGGATTGTAAGGGCCTATTTGATTTATTTTTTAAGTCACTTCTCTTAAATTTTTTCCTAATAAAAATAAAAACTATACAATCACTTTAGTATTTTCGATTGCGACTAGAAACTGAAAGACAGGATATAGAGAATATCATTCGGATGTAATAGCAATGCTGGTATTTTTAAAACTTGACTTCTTGAACAGTTCTCAAGATTTGCCTAAGGTTATGGCTTTAAAATGGAAAAGAAAATAGGATTTATGTAACCAAACCTAAATAGTTGAAATAGACTTTGTTGAGTCGAGTATGATTATTCTACACCAAATCATCCAAACACCAAAATAACAATAAATAAAAATGAAGCACTAAATAGTTGTTGTGAAAAAAAAAATATATATATCAATTTTGATCAAACTCATTCTTGAAATCTGTACGAATCAGTGATGAAACCATAAAATTATGTGTCTGAGGTGGAGGAGACCTTGAATAACAATAAGATATAAAAAAGATTCATATAACCATAATAGGGGGCTATATTAAAAATTCTTTTCGGACATAAATGAAATATGTGGCAAGATGCCATCACCCTGCTGTGTTTTGCTTGATACTTGTAATTAGCAAACTTGTCCATGGACCACCAGCATTCTAGGCTACTCTATTTGTATATAATTCCCTATTTTCTGGACATAGTGGGAAGGAACACAAATATTTTGCTGAGCCAGCATACCAAATAAAATTTAAGATAAGTTTCACTCATCAATGAAGAACATTGCATAACCCATTAAGTGCATACAAACGGTATGGATATGTAAAAATAATTACAAAACAAAGGTAAAAAAGGATAAAATAAGTATACTTTTAAATTGTGGTATCAGGTAATGTAATAAAAATCCAATGGAATCAAAAATATCAGCCAAAGTATGCTTCAAATCAGTTACTATAGCCGTGAAGTTTTTTAATCAATAGCAAATCAATCAAACTTAAGCAATTAATGATGTATTAGATATATTATGAATAAATTTTAATCAATTTAAACATTTGGTTATAACTGTATGAGGCTACCTGTCTGATTCATAAATTAGAGTTTGGGTTTATTAAAGAGATAAGAGTGATGTAGATAAAAGTTATTGCACTTGGGTAACACAAAAAAGTCCCTAATAAAGGTCTCAACAACTCCCTAATGCGATTCTTCTTGGGTTTTGGGGGATCATAGAACACAAAGGTGAGAACTATAGATGTGAAACAGGTTCAGGGGTAGTAATGGCAAGGATTAGTCAATTTTGGGTCAGATCATAATTGGAATGAGTTGAACTTAGCATGAGAAGCTAATATTGTCAACTCAAGACTCATCTAGCCATCAGGTTTGTTGAGTTCTGAATAGATTCAAGTTTATACAGAAATATACTTAGTTAAAAATGGTTTTATTATTATCATTATTATTATTAACAGTGATCAAATATCCTTGAAGAAAAGAAATTTAGATCTACCAAATGAGAAGCATCGAAAGAGAAGACTGAAACTTACTTTGAGATAGCCCTATAGCTGCGGACTTCAACTTTCCAGAATCAATGGGGGTGTACTTATCACAGCGCATATCATTCGCAGTCGAGGCTAAAACTGAGTTTTCTGAATTGGGCAACATCCATCTGCATGTTATATGTGTTAATTGATCAAAAGCAATGTAACAAACAACTACTGAGGGAAAAGTTCAGTTTCCAATGAATTCTTCCATACAGTATCACTTGTTTGTCAATAAATTTTATTTTTTAATCTACAAGCAGTTTCAATAAGTCCAGAATTTACATGACAAGTTGATTTTAGGAAAAACACATTTTCAAATTTCAATCGCAAGTATGTTTCTTCATTGAAATAAATAAATATATATATGAAAGCCAAAATCCTAATTTTCACATGTGAGCCAAAATCAGCACTGAAACCAACATTTCTAATCCAAAAATATAAGTACATCTTCCAATAATTTCATGAAAACCTCAAATTCCACAGACAAGTTAGCTATTTCTACATTATTTATTTGAATAAAACTAGGAAATTCTGAGAACCCTAAGTCTGATTAAACTAACCAAACTTGTAATCCCAAATAATCCAATATATCAGATAATACAAAAATATTGCAAGACTATGCACGCAAATATCCAAAGACTTGAATTCCACCATTTGTTTCTTTGAACCGTATGATAAATATAAACAGAATATTATGCAATATACTTGAATTATAAGCCATGTACTTGAATTATACCCCATATATTTAAACCCAAAATCTCAACTTTCACTCTCAATTCCCACATTTCCTGAGCAACCAAGCAGATTGCTCAGAATTACCAAGCCAAACAATTTCTACGCGAACTTGGTTTTTTGCACATTTTATCGGTTATCAACCAAATTTCTCACTTCAACAGAGCTAAATACCAACCTGAATTATGCCCAGAACATAAAAACCCAAAATCTGAATTTTATTTTCCTACCATTTCTGAGCAACCAAACAAAAGAGAATATATAATAGGAAGCAAAAGAAAGAAGAGAAAGGACCTCTTTGGGCTAAAGGTGACCTGCGGAAGAGAAACGTAACCCCGAAGGGGGTTCAAGGCATCGCTCGACACAGAAGAGAGACCATTTCTCTTTGCACATCTAACACTTTACCACTAAAAATTGTATCCCAAACGAAGCCTACTCCCCCATTAAAATCTATCAACAGAAACACAACAGCTCCATAGAATAATCAGAAATGACAACCCTAAATCTAATAAACAACATAATTTTTTTTTTTTTTTTTAAATTCCAAAATTCAGGAGGAATAATAATCAACAGATTGTTAAAAAAAGGCAATACCTGGGACGAAGGTGCAAAGATAGAGCCAAAAATCCCAGAAGATGAAGAAGCAGATGAGTCCTTTGAACCAAAAAAATAGAAAGCTCAAACAACCTGTATGATTTCCCACAGCGATTCAGACTCAGACGACAAGCCTTTTCCAGATTTGTAGTTTACCCCCTTTTGCAATTTCGAAACCCTAGAAAAAACTAGGGTGAGGATCATGAAAAATGGCAAACAAGAAAAGTACAAATGAACTTTTGCTTGGCTCTACCGAGATTAGGAGGTTGGCTTGGCTGGAAACGGAAGAAACCCCAAAGGTTGCTACTAGGTTGTAGAGCAGGGCGATGTTGAGAGAAGAACAGAAGAGGTGAAGAACTAAAGAGCTTTGTGAGTTGTGACGGTGGAAGAGATTTACAAATGATACAAACTTTTTTAGATCAAAAACAACGTAGTGTGATTGGCTTCCCTATGTTGTAAAATAAAATAAGTTTATATTATTTCATTTTTGCGCCAAACAAAAGAAAAATGAAGCAATGAAGCGCTAAAGTTTGGCGCTTTGTTTTTTTGGGGGGATATTGGGGACGGTCCTCAATAACCGTACCAAAAATAACCCTTTTAGGGACAGTTTTTAAGAATTTGGTGACATGTCAAGTTGCCTGTCCCTAAAAGCCTAGTATTAAGGACGGTAAAATTTGTCCATCCCTAATAATAAAATCTTTAGGGACGGGTTTTAGTCCGTCACTAAAAGACTGTCCCTAATAGCTTAATTTCTTGTAGTGTGTAAATATCTCTGATAATAAAATTGATACCATTGGAAAGAGGAAGAAAAATCCTTAAATTTGAGCTCAAGAATGACCCAATTTCGATTTAAGATGACTGAGTTATGATCGTTTAAATTTTGAGTAACAAAACAGTCAAAAATAATAGGTTAAGCTCAATCGCTACTATGAGCGCGACCACACCGAATAATTTATTTGTTAACTAGAACAAGTCAACGGTCCAGATCTGTGTGTACACCACTCCCTATGATCTGTGCTACACCAGATTAATTCCTTATTGACTAGATCACTTCTATGGTCCAAATAACCATGAACACCAAAATCCCATACACCGCACCACACTGAATCATCCATCCCTCATCATCACCATTCAAGGGTCAAGATCTGCGTGCACACACTATTACCTATGCTGCGCCGCACTGGATCAATCTCTATTGAGGCGCCGATTTCACAAACGCTAGTGTGTGTATATTTATATATAACACTATCTAAATAGAATATATTTATATATAATTTTCCAACAATTATAGAAAAATAAAATATATTAAATTCTTAAAAATATAGAAAAACACTAGAAAATTATAGAAAATTCCCAGAAATTCTATAAATCCTAAATAACCCTTTTGGGTCACAGATCAAACATATAGTTGATTTTAAATATATGTAACCTATATATATAATTAAAATTCAACAATTCCAAAAATAAAAATAAAAAAATAAAACATGTTTTTAATACTCCGATTTAATTCTGATTTAATCAAATAAAATTAATCTAAACATTGATACTCAAGGTAAATTCCTTATAAGTTCTAAGCGCAGAGTTAGAAAATAACTTATCTGAAGGTTTCGAAATGAAATCGATGCTTCAAGTTTTGATTGTTTCTTCCAATTACGACATCTTCTTTCTCATATTCGGCCTCTTCCTTATCAGACTTTTCTTCTTCTCTCTTTACTTCTTTTATTCGTGTAAATTTTTAATCCTAAAGCCTTATGTGTATATTTATACATATTAAAATCCAAATCATATTCCTACTAGGACTACCAAATAAAAGAAATAATAATTATCTTAAATAATATATATAAATATATATTATATAATATATATGTATATTTCCTTTCATGATAATCCTTAACTAATTAAATTATACGCGCGCGCACACACACACACACACACACACACACACACACACACACACACACACATATATATATATATTTCCTTACATAATAATTATTAATTAATTATAATTATATACATATAATTATAATTAATTATTATATAATTATAATTAATTAATAATTATTATGTAAGGAAATATATATATATATATATATATATATATATATAAGGATAATTATTTAAATATATTTATAATCATGGACCCTTATTAATTAACCCAACAAGTTAGGCTTCCTTCAAGCCCAAGACCACATCCATTGGTCACACTCCTCTTAAGCCCAATCCAATTAAAATAAAATAATTAAATTAAATCTAATAATTACAAATAATTAACAAATAATTCTTGAAAACATAAATACACACAAATAAAATAGATAATTTAATCATAACATTCCAAAAAGTAAAACACCATATCAATTCACCAAATATACTAACGAAATATAATCTAATTAAAATAAGATAATTAATCTAAGCACTCAATTAAATAAAACAAATCATTTTTAAAATAAAATAAAAATAATTAATCCCAATTAATAAATCCTTTATATATATATTCTCTTATTTAAATTTAAATATGAATTATACAAATTACCCCTTAACTTTATTATTAGAATTAATTTATCATTAAAAAAATTATAACTACCATTTTATAAAATGATTAACTTATTATTAGAATATTGGGGCATTTTTGGCAATAGGTGGTATTAGGCACAAAATATAATTCAAGGGGGTTATTTTCAAATTTAAATATAGTTCAGGGAGTTTTTTACACTTTACCATATATTTATATATATACACACACTTTTATATATTAAAAACATACATTATGATAAGTTTTAATTTTTCTCATTATTTCCTAAACAAGTATATGGTGACAGAAGGTCAATTTGTGATAAGAATTTACTCTTTTGTGACGAAATATTCTTTGTCGCTAAAAGATAGAAATTAGTGACAAATAATTTGTCACTAAAAATCTAACATTGGCGACAAAGACAATTTTTGTCACTAGAGTGTAATTTTTTGGGACAAAAATTCATCATCGTTAAATGATAATAATTAGTGACAATATGTTGTCACTAAAAGTCTATTAATTGTGACAAAGTGAGCTTTGTCACAATAACTCAATTTTTTGCGACAAAGCATCATTTGTCACTAGAAGGTTGTTTGTAGCAACAACAATTTTTGTCGTTAAAATGTCATCAATTGTGACAAAGCTATATTTGTCACAATAACTCAATCTGTTGCGACAATGCATCATTTGTCACTAGAAGATTGTTTGTAGCAACAACAATTTTTATCGTTAAAATGCCATCAATTGTGACAAAGTTATATTTGTCACAATAACTCAATCTTTTGCAATAATGCATCATTTGACGTTAGAAGGTTATTTGTAACGACAATAATTTTTGTTGTTAAAATGCCATCAATTGTGAGAAAGTTATATTTGTCACTAAAATCTAGTTAATCGCGATAAAGCTATATTTGTCACTATATTGTAATTAGTTGCGACAATATATTTGTCACTAAAATCAATTTTGTCGCCATAACCTTTCCCGCCATATGGCTGGACGTACGAAAATTCCCGGGATAGATATTGCGACAACTTTTTGTGACAAATTTGGTTTTTGTCATGTTATACAATGTATATTATTGCCACAAATATCTATCCATTTTCTTTAACAAACAAAAAAGACTCACTCACACACACAAAAGGATGACAATTAAATAGAGCTGTGCGATTGGAATGGTACCTACTCCAGAGCATTATATCATATTTGTCTCTTCGCAATTCATTTATGAAAATAGTAGGATATCGATCATAAAAAGCAAGTTGGGAGATGGACAACTTGTTTTTTTTTTTTTTTTTTTTTTTTTTTTTTTCAAGCTAAAGGTAAGCTTGTATATATATGAAAGAAAAAAGAATATACATGGGAGCATAAGAGGCTCCCAAAGCAAATACAACTGGCATAAGGGCACAAAAGCCCACAGAGAGCAGCTAACAAAGCAAAAAGTTTCAAGAATCAACATCAAATTAAAATCAAAATTTGTAGCAAACAAGAGGCAGTTATTTGCATAAAATAGTTGATGGATGGCTGGGACAATGCAGCATAAAAAATCAAAGCAGCACTCCAATAAAGCAGCTCTATAGATCCAGGCAATAATCCAACACCATTGCAAAGTAGCACCCCTACACACCCGCCTCTACTGAACTAGCCATGTGTGACCTCCATAAAGGTGGCAAGCCTAGTAATAATAAAGATACTGTAAGTCATTGTATGACAGTACATGTCTTAGCTGTAAGATGTTTCTAAGAGTGATAAAAGCTAATCTTGAACAAATGGATTTGATCTGTGAGATATTATGCTGGGGAGCAGTAGATTTGTTCCTGAAAGCTCTTGCGTTCCTCTCCATCCAAAGGAAGAGCAATTTGTGTACAAAAAACTTCTTTGTAATCCAGTGAGTATAGGAGCACCAAACAACCAATTCAGTCTAAGAATTGGACTGAAAAGTGGAACCTATGACCCCCTGAATGAACCTCCAAATGTGAGAGCTATAGTTGTAGTTAAAGAACAGATGGTCCAATGTTTCAAAGTCAGCATTGCACAAGAAAACAAGTATTTATGTAGTGTTTATTCAGCATAGGTTTTGAGTTAAGTGTGTAGAACCTCTTTCTAAGTTATAACCAAGTGATAGAACTATGCTTTGGAATGTCGTGTTTGAACCAAATCAGATGTTGCCAAGGGAAAATAAATGAAGGGGGAGTAAAGTATGACATTGTGTGTGCAAATGAGAAATTCAGTGAGGGGCTAGGTAACCATTCATTTGAGTCCTGTGAGTTAGAGGGTGGTGGAATACTGTGTAATTGGGATAAAAACTCAAGGGATTGAAAGAACTAAGGAAATGGGATTGCAGGTGGAATAACCCATTGGAAATTGGAAATTAAGCTATCAACTGAGGCATAGGTGTCCAATTGAAGAATTTTCATTTCCGAGAGACCCAATTAAGATACAATTGGGCCATTTGGGAGCCAGAAGTCTAACCACATCATAGTATCAGTGCCAGCCCCAACTCTATGTCTAATGAGCCCTCTTGCCAGTCCCCTAAGCTTCAATAGTCTTCTCTAGAATCCAGAACTCAGTGCAGTTGGTTTGATGGTCCAAATACTCTTTGTCTTTATGAGGTAACTGAAGGTCTAAGCAACCCACAAACTGTCCTTCTTAGTGCATAGCTTCCAAATGTGCCTAAGGTTACCAAGGATGTTTGACAGCTCCAAGTCAGGAAATCCCAGGCCCTCATTGATTTTAGGTCTGCAAATAACAGACCAAACAACCTTTGTTCCACTTTTTTTTTTTTTTTTTAATTCCACTCCAGACTAATAAAAGCTCCTCAAGATTTGATTGATTTGTTCAAATACCTTCTTTGGCAATATAAAGGATTGAGACCAGTGAGCTTGTATGGACTTGATTAATACAGCCCTACCTGCATAAGAGAGGAATCTAGATGTCCAATTCCTAAT